AAGAGTACATGTCATTTCTGACAGAGGTGCTGGTTCTAGTAAGACTGGAGGAAAGGGGAAAATGCAAAAGGGGAGGAAGACTAAGGATGCTTTAGGCACTCAAGAGAGTGTCATTTCTGATTAGCTTAGATATCTTTTGAAGTGATGTTGATTTTTGGAGTACTTTTGAACTGTGGATGATTGACTTAGATTTACTTTTGGAGTGTTGTTGATTTTTGGAGTAGTTTTGAACTATGGATGAACTTTTGCTTTCTGTTTTAGGAATGATGGATCTTTGTGAATGTAATGATGTTGAATTATGTTTTGAACAAGGAATGATTGTTGAAAGAACTTAGTAATGATTTTGGAGTGTTGTTCATCTCAGATTTCTTTTTTATATGTAGTGTTTTGTTGTGTCAAGTCTGTGATGTTTTAGAAGTAAGCAGGTGTAAGTATTGTGTAGTGTAGTTGTAATGTTTAGAGTGCTGGATCATTATAATGTTCATCTCAATTTCCTATAGTGTATTGCTTTGTTATGTTAAGTATGTGATCTCAGTTTCATATAAATTGCAAAACATAACAAAAAAAGGACAACAACAATGAGATAAAACACAAAAACAGATTACATTAGTTCTTAAGTTCAATACATCCACCAAATGAAATAAAACAGAACAATATTCAAAGCAACATTTGAGGCCCCTGCTTATGGCTAGATTTCCCAACCAAACTAAGGAAAACGATCAGTATAACCACAAACAAGCAAATCATTACAAAATTCATCTTCCTTTCCAATTTATGCATCAGTGCTAATGTATTTTTCATAACCAGTAGGACTTCATTGTTCTTCTGAACTTCAACCTCAAGATCATTTAGTTTTTGTTCAAAATCAATACCACAATCCACAATTTCATCTTTTTCCAATGCCTTTCCATTGTACATTTTTTCCATTGCAACCTTCTGCCTCAGCTGCTCTTCCAAATACTCGATTTTAGATTTCTATCGCACAAAACAAGATTTTTGAAACTCAGGAAATGCGGGATCAATCCACTCAAAAAACCGGCAGTCTTTCCCTTCTTAAACAATGTAGAAAAATTAGGGTTTATCAAATTGGGGGTTTTAATTAAGTTTATAAAATTTAGGGGTTTTGAAGAAATTAGGGTTCTCACAAAATATACGTAGATCACCTTCCTCTTAGGACATCTATGGAACCTTCTACATGGATTCTCGTACGTCATGGAGGTGAACACATCGGCTTCGTCGCCATGGCCACAGACCTTCTTCGAAGGAACACTACAGCTTCCAGAACTCTGGCTTGCGCGAGATGAAGACGACATCTTCCACTAGCACGATTGTGTCTTGTGCGAGCTACCGTCTGCAAGAAAGAAAAGTCACTGAACTTTTTAATTTAGGGTTTTCAGAAAAACGATTTGGGAAATTTGTGAAATTGGGGAGGGGAATCGTTTTTATACCATTTTTTCAGAAATTCCACGTATTTCACTTAAACTTACTGAGCAAAGTCAAAATTACACGTAGATAAAACCAGCCAAACACGTTGGCACCTTTTCGCCGCCCGACGGGTTTTAAGTCAATTTTGCAAAAGTAATACTAGTCTGGTATTATTTTGCATTTATCTAGAAGTTTGGATTAAATTGCCAACAGTGAAAAGGTCAAGGTTTAAATGGCAATTAACCCTTATTTTTAATATATATTAATTTCCACGTGGCACTATTTTTTGCTTGGTCACAAATTTTATTTATCTAGAAATGCCCTGTAGAGACTTTTTCATATATGACGTGTCTTGAAATGAATGAGTCGCGATAACTTTTGACTATACGATTGGTCCAATCAATCAAAAAGACCACTCCTGAATTACTTTCAAGACTTAAAACCCACTTTTAATAACAACAAAGCTTAAGCCTACAACTCACTTAACCTAGATAAAGAGTTTCATTCGACCCATAACATCAACATTTTGCTTCTTTTTCTCAAGGAAAATTAGGAGAGGCTACACATTCCAGAATGGAAAGTGATATGGGATACCATACTGGATCAACTCGACCCAATAAGCAGTTCAACTAAACCAGGTGAACCTATTTATGTGTAAGGCTCACTCAAATTACAAGAGATGTGGTGTATTTGTAGGCTACAGTAGGGACCCTAAGGAGGTGCTAAATATGAGTTTCTCAAGTTTGGACTAATTGTGGGTCAAACCTACTCTGCTCAAACTTGAATAATATTTCACTTCACTAAAGAAATATTATTGCACTCATTATTTAGCGACCAAATTACATTTGAGGTCATAATAATAATTACTCAGTCGAATTTGGCATTTGGATATTATTTCTATTAATGAGCGACCAAATTACATTTGAGGTCATAATAATAATTACTCGATTGACCTCCTTGTATTTAAGATATAATGTAAGTCAATTAATTTAATTATTGACAATATAATTAATAAAGTTATTGAATCAAGACTAGTACCACTCAAATCTTTATTATTATGTTAGAATAAATTTCATAACCGAATTTAACATAATAATCTTCTTGAGCTCATATCGGGAACATCATCAAACTATCGCACACGGTGACTGTATATATTAGAACATCACACCTTACACACAACACTACTATCCAAAACACGTCAGACTGTTGACCCAGCTGAATGGATCTCACCTTTTGGTGAATCAAATCAAAGTAGCAACTACAGTATGCATATGCTTGTTTATATCTTAAGGCTCAAGAGTACACAGTAATTAACAGAGGTCTTGTTCGTTTAATCGATCAGCATAAAATAAACTTATCGTTTCTGGATCCGTTAAATACACATATAGTGTACTAGTGCAACCAATCAGTCAAGAAAGACTATGGGTCGTTCATTTCCATCTAGGTTGTGAACCTAGTTATTTATGTTTTACAAGTAGCCAATATACGATCTTTTGTCAATCTGTGATGAACCACATCATTCAAATGTGAAACATCAAAACGTAGAATGTTTAAATAAACATGATTCTCATTCAAACATGAATTGTGTCAACAAAAAGCTGAACTTTTAGTATACACACCAACACATGTGTAGTATACCAAAATGCTCAAAGGCAATGTGGTGGAAGCAAAAATGTCCGACACTCTCACTGTGAATAAAAATGTGACCACCATAGCGACCTATCTTTTTTCGGTTTTGCCAGAGGCAGAGATGTGGCGTTGGAACAAAAAAATCCCCAAGTACAAGCCAAGTACGAAACTGCTTGTCTTTCTCGCGTAAATCTCTCATTTGTATTATTCCTTTGTCAACTTAATCTTTAATTGACAATCTTACCATCTTATATCGTGCAATGGCTTTCTGCTGTCGTCCCCATGCTCCACGATGGGGTATCATACTCTTCTCCTACCCAGGATATGTTGGTTGGTATACTGAAAGTTTTGCTTCAGTTTAAACCAATTTTCAAGTTTTGAATGAGAATCAAAATTAGTCAAAAAAATATATGTGTTTTATTTATGATCAATAGTTTATGCAACTTGTTATATTATTTTACATTGTAGATAATGGCCTTGTTTGGTA